AGAGCCGTGAGACCGCGGAAGTCCTCCTCCTCCAGAAATCGTAGCAGCGACACGTCAAGCTTCACCATTCTGGTCTCCTTCCCCCACACCCACACCCTCCCCTCCCCTTTTACGCTCCCCCCGCGTGCAGCCGCAGGCAAGAAATGAAAATAAAAATAAAATAAAAAAACAGCAGGAGTGGTGGGATGAAGAGGCATGTACAAAAGCACGGACAGACAAGGGAAGGAGAAAGGCAAGCAGCAAAAAAAAAGAAAAAAAAAGACGGAAACACGGCGCCCCGCAACGATAAATTGACACCTTCCCTCATTCCACCTCGTTGTCTCATATTCCCCCCCTCCTCAGCGTGAATCTTCTCTTCATTGTTTGTTTGTTTTTTCTTCGTTTTGTGTTTTTGTGTTTTTTTTTCTTTTCTTTTGTCCTTTTCGTTGTTGTTGTTGTTGTTGTGTGTTTGTGTGTTTCTTGCCAGCTGCGGCGGGAATGCTCTCGTCCATCACCGCCCACAGAAACGAAAAAAAAAAAAAAAAAAAGAAGCCACCCCCCTCTACAAAAGGTGCCTCAGTGCGTTATTGTACAACTTTTGCATCATGACTCCTTGTGATATGAGAGCGTTAAAATCCTGCGCGCTGAGTTCTTCTGTCGGTAAATTCTGCAAAAATTTCATCACAACGCCGTAGTCCCTCTCGTTACACAGCACGGGAGAAAACCAAATCAGAAGTGCAGCGCAGACGTAGACATGAGTGGTACACCAGTCCCTTTCTACATCAGCGAGGTACGTGTCCCACAGCCGCAGTGACTGTGTGGCGTTGAGCTCTCGAAGGAGCAGGCAGTTCATCCAACGGAACGCAAATTGATTGAAATCAATCTGCAATTCTTCAATTAGATGCTTGTAAAGCTTCACATTTACTACCCGTGTCACCGCCTCCAAATGGCGCACCATGCTGTAAATACCCCTCTGGTTGTATGTGTAGTTCTCCTGCATACCACTCAAGAGGTGGGACGCCATCCAATACGTATCGGCCTCAATGGTACACATCCATTCCTCCTCACTGACGGCGTCGGTGGAGAACAACTCGTCCAATTCCCTCGCCGTGAGCGAGTGCAGCTCCGCCACGGTCTTGGAAGAACAAAACTGACTTGACAGGACGACACTAATGAAGGGGATTAAAAGGTCGTTTATTCCCTGCACGTAGCCGCATGCCGGATGACGTAGCGCCCAAATGTACAAAATTCGTTCAATAGAGAGCATGACTCTTTTATGATGAAGATACGCCACACCGGCAGACATGCGAGGCACATCCTTGCGGATTTGTTTAAGCATACGAAGCTCCGACTCACTGGCAATACCATACTGCGCCCCGCCCACCACCTGCCGCTGGCGAACACTACTTGTGGCACAGGCACCCACAAAAGTGTCATCATCACCGTCTTTTATTTCTGCTGGAGCCAAATTGACACACGCGGTTCCTCCCGTCTCCACCGCCCTCAACGCCGCATCCCAGTCAATCGAACTGTAGCTTGACTGAACATATCCTACGTACTCTTGTCGTTTGCGAGCAAGCACCGTGGCTCGACTCGAGAGAAACGGCTGCAAATTTCCGGTTAAATAGCCCCAAACTTCACGACGAAAGGTGGCCGGACAGCCGCTCCGGCACGTGCTGCACAATTCATCGAGCTCCACAGTATCCTTCGCAAGCACTTTGCGGAGGGCCGCCTCGTCGTACAGCGATTCTTCCTCAGGCAAAGCCCTCGATTTCTTCCTCACGGCATCGGCCGTGTTCTCACGCCCATTTGGCAATGCAGTAAGGGACTGCAGTCCAGCAATGGGCATTTTGCGATGGAAAGACTCGTCATTTCGCTCCGGAGTCGCCAATGAAAAACGCCGCATAAGCTCATCCTTCACGCGCGAAAACATCATGCGCCCTCTCCACCACCTACTCCTTCACCGAAAGCAGCAGCAGACCTTCTCCCCCCACTACTCCCCCTAACGCCAGGAGCAAAATAAAAATAATAAAAAATAAAAAATAAAAAAAAGGCGGATGCATCCTCATCACGGCAAATCACGCACAAAGAGAAGCAAAAGTACAGTTGCAACTCATGCATGTTTTTCTTTTTCTTCCCTTTTGCGTCTGTGTATTCTCGTCGCTGTCCCCCTCCCCTCCTCCCCGCGTCCAACAATTTAAATGGCTGGGCGGACAAAACAAAAAAGACACGCGGTTTACTCGAAAAGAGAGAAAAAAAAAAAAGCAAAATCCTCAACAATTCAAAGACTATTTTTTCTTTCCAAACAGTGCAGCGTTTCGTATCGCATCCAGTCTTTGGAGTCTGTTTATTGGCTTGTTTTTCTCTGTGCGCGACTGTTCTTCCGTCTTTTTTGTTGCATATGAACCCCCAAATTCACGTGGATGAGCATTTTCATGTTGGTCACCCCCCGTCTTACGGTGTGAGTCCCCAACTCCAGCAGACAAAGAGAGTTCTTCACCCTCTCTCCTCCGTCCTAACACATTATTTTGTCGTTGCTGCCTCCCCACTTCGTTGCAACCTTCTCCATCCACTGCTTCCTCTCCACAATTTTCATTGTTGCGCTGACGTTTCCTCTTGAATACTCCCCGCGGCAAAACACGCTGCAGGGCCGTCTTTTCCCATGTGGAGAGCGCAACCGCCAAACCCTTATCCGGGACTGTAGACGCATCCCCAGTGTTCTCATCGACGTTACAAGCGGCCATGGAACCGTAGATACGCTCTGCGTCCTGCTGCTGTAATCTTCTCTCCTTTGCGCTGAGGGCCTTTGCGCCAACCCCTGCTCGATTCCAAGGACGGCAAACGTCATCCTCATCGTTGTCGCCATCATTCCCAGCGCCGCTCCCACGTACGGCGTGCGGCCGGTGAGTCTTGTGACCTAAAGTGCCTCCCGCCGCGTTTAACTCCGCCACCGCGGCAAAAGCTGAGTCAATGTCAAAGGGGCACCGCAAATAACCCCCACGGCCTGACTTCACGGGCTGTTGAAGCGCCGGCGCCTCCATCGTCTCCCTATTTTCCACCCGCACCCCAGGCTTCATAGCGAGCACCACAGCGAGCAAAGTACACTGGCCGCAGCACGGATACACCGAGAGGAGAGCAAAAACACAAAAACAGAGAAAAAAAGGGAAAGAGGATGACAAAGCATTTTTTTTTTTTTTTAGGAATGCGCCATGAGGCCCCCGGGTCCTGTCTCGCTGCCGTGCAGAGGAGGAACACAGACGAAGAAGAAGACATCAGCAGGTGGGAACGACGGATTTCTGCGTGGAATTCAGGAAGTGTGAGGCTACACATGCGCATGCCCCTCTCCACCTCCCACCGATTGCTCGCACAAACGCGGGCTACGGCTTATTTTCCGCTCGCAGAGGAGAAAAAAGAACCACACACAAGAAGAAAAGGAAAAAGAGGGAAGTACACATGCACGTGCAACAACCAAACAACAACAACAACAACATAAATAGAAACCATAAAATAGGATTCGCCGCATTGACAGTGGAAGATTTAAATAGGACGTTCATCGACAAAATCAAAAATAAAAATAGAAATCAAGCGACTCTTCTTCCTGTTTTTTTCGCATTGTCACTCACGGAATCCAGCACCAAAAAACCAATGGCAAATCCATCCCCTCATTGCACACACAAACACACACACAGATCTACACATGTATGCCCCGCAGCAAAGGAAAACAGATGCAGGATAAATGACGCGGATGTGAATGCATGTTGGGTGCCCCCGGTTTACGACCCGCACAGTGTAACAGGCTCTCTATTTGACATTTTCCCTTCCCTTTAAAGCGATAAGCTCCCTTGTAATTTCTGCCCATTTCACATCGCTTCCACGCCACATGGCATGGAGGCCTTGCGTGGTCCGGTCAAGCATCATGACAGCTGTTGGCCAATTCTCCAGCCCGCCAAATATGTGAGTTGCGTACACAACAGTCACACCTCGGTTGGCACTCTCATTGTACAGAAATGATAACAACTCCTGTCGCTGGTCGAGATCAAGATCAGATGTGGCCTCATCCAGCAGAATAACGGGCTTGTCCTCGAGTAAGTGAAGTAGAAGCTGCACATGTTTCTGCTCACCCGTAGAAATATGGCGGACGTCCCACGACAAGTCCACTCCAAGAACTTTGCACAACCACTCCGCCCGTGGTGTTTGAAGTTGCAGCATCTCGTGCACGTGCATTTCACCCGGCGGTGCGGTATCCCACCATTCACCACCAAACGCAACAAGGCCGTTTAGCGTCATATCATCGTAACAGGATTTCCCAATAATACGGAGTGATCCATTGCTGTTGTTGAAGAACTGCTTCCCGCCCATCATTTTCAGCAAAGTTGACTTCCCGGCCCCATTGCAACCACAGAGCAACACACGATCCCCCCTGTAAACCGTGAAGGAAAGATTACGGAATATGTTTCTGTATTGTAGTCGGTCACAGACAATAACAGCCTCTTTTTCCGAAGGCAGGGCGGTCACTGTGCCCCCTCCCTTCCAATCGTCATTGTATGCCTCTTTCACGGGCATCCGCTTGCTAGTGTAATCAAAAAGGTCTCGATGACGCCTCGTGAGGAAGTGGCACACAAACACCTCCAAAGGTGCATTGAGATCAGATACCCTTTTGAAATCAACGACCATGCCTCCCTGCATCAGCAAGAGGTGCGTTGCCCAGTCACTCACACCATCAAAAATATGAGTCGCATACAAGCAACAGCTGTCACCAACAACACACTCTGACCGCACAAGATCCAACACGGTCATTCGCTCCGCAATGTCGATGTCCGTGCTACATTCGTCCAGCAAATAAACAAACGACTTCTGCAACAAACCGTGAAGAATCTGCACCCGCCGTCTCTCCCCCGAACTCATATTGCTAACGGCACGCCCTAAATCAAGATGAAGAGCATCCGCCACGCTTCGCTTCCTTTCCGGCAGCGGCGCCTTAGAGGTTACCTGGTCGACAGTGGTGGCAAAGAAAGCCTCTGTTGGCCACGGTCGACCAATAAGCGTCACATGCTGCTGCAGACGCGTGTCATCAAAGGCGTCGGAACCCAGCACAGTGGCGCGGCCACTCGACGCCTTTCGCCGCCCCGCAATGACGGACAAAAGCGTTGACTTTCCACTACCGTTGTGCCCCACGACGAGAACTCGATCCCCGCCGTTCACGCGAACACTGACATCGCGTATCCCGCCCGCCGAACCACCGCCACCATGGGGGTACTGAAAGGAGACGAATGCGAGATCCACCAGCGGGTCCGTGAATGTGTGGGTCATCTCAACTCCCCAGGAAAGCGCAACGGCGAGTAGGAGGGCCGCCGCAGCAAAAAAAAAAAAAAACGCACACGACACTACAAACAGACAAACAACGATAAAAGCAATAATAAATAAATAACTTCATTGGCATAACAAAATAGCCGTAAAGAACAGACGGTGGCGTAAAAAATACCGTTCAAGCGCATTGATTTCCGCCTTTCTTTCATTATTATTATTATTATTATTATTTTGGGTGTTGTGCTTTTTACTTTACCCTTTGTTCCACCCGCTCCTCATTCCTCTCCTCCTCCTCCTTTTTCTCCACTAAACGCACCTCACGCGCGGTCACCCATTCCCCTCGCCTTGACACGCCGCCTCTACACCTTTACAAGGAGGTGGAGAACAGAGGCAAGGGCAGGCCCAGCCACACACGCACACACAAGAAAAAATACACACAAAAATCTATGCCATTCCTGTTACCATGTCTGGTGTTATCAAAACCATTTTGGGCATTCCAGAGCCATCAATTAGATTTGTCCTATGCACTACCAATACCACACCATTCGCCACGCACTGAATCTCCTGAATATAGCCCGTACTTCGTCCCTCAGAGGCAGAAGCTGCCATCCCCGCCAAGGAACAATAGTCACGAAAGCACACTTCCACACCAGGGCGTATTTTACACCCATTCACATTAATTTCCTCTAGCACAGTGCCTTCACGATTCGGAGACCGTGCGTGCACGTCCCCTGACGCCAAAACAAACGAAGGTCCTGTGGGACACAGAGCAGGAGACGCCTTTTCGTCTGTACGACACCTGTACGGAGGTTCCTCGTCTATTGCCTCATTCATACGAACTCCCTAACTCCCGGCACAACCACCACCAACAGCAGCTGCATCGACACCTCTAGGGGGCGACTCAAGCACATACATGTGCTGCATTTGAGAGGCATCAACAACATAAACGGGGATGTTGAAGATGAGATTTTCCAACGGCACTGTTGCGGTGCGTGAACCCAGATACACCGTTGTCTGGTTTTCAAGGCTTCCTGTGTGAGGGTTTTGGCGCAGAACTCTGTACTTCACTTCGTAGAGTAGCAATGTCACAACATCATCCCCGCCAAGACGTACCACGCGCCCCAGCTCCACCACCGGTGCCTCGTTTTTGTTCCTACCATGCATCCTGCTGCCGCTCACACGCGGCATGCAAAAGTAGTAGTCCTCACCCTCCAGCACCGTAAGCACCTCGCCACCCGAAGTAAACGTCACACGACTCGACCCTCGATCTGCATTTGCCGGCGATAACGGCACAGCCTCTGCCACCCTTGTGCTCGTCTCCTCCTCCGTCTTATCTCGGGGACGCTTGACACCAGAGACTGGGCTGGCAGCAAGCGAGTTGATGACAACGCCAGCGTCACTCCGTCCATTTCGCGGTGGGGGAAGCGCAAGAAAAAACTCGTGGATGCGGTGAAACAACCATGATTTCTCTAACAGTGCCACAGAGGTAACACTGGTGGTTATCTGCGCCCGCTTCCCGGGAGCTACATACAAATAATGCGGGGGGGAGTCCCCATCCGGTGGTAGTTGATGCGTGATTGTGCCCCCACATACTTGGAGAAGAAACGCAATTTCGGCATCTTCCCCTGCAACGTAAATCCTCTTCTGGCTGAGGAATCGTTCTTCCTTTGAAGAAAGCAGCCGCCATCGCACAAAAGTATCGTTGTCCTGCCCAATGAGGTGTTTCGGCTTCGGAATGCACACATGTGGAAACTCTCCCGCAACGTCCACCTCGAGTTCCTCCAGCCACCCCACGGAAACGGCAGAAAGACCCATGGCGTGTGCTACCGCTATAATCATTCCATCGTCCCTCTTCAAATCGTCCTCTGCAACGACAAAAAAAAAACGGTTCTCTCCTGTTCGCCGCTGACCAAATGAGGAATTCGATGAAAGGGACTCCAGATTTAAAGGAGGCTCCACTATCAAGGCGCCCCGTTCCATCAGCTGGGTGAGAATGCATCGCTTCCCTGCCAATTGTAACAGCGCTGCCGATGTAAAATAGAGTGTGAGGAACGATGGGCTCACTCCGACATCCTCGTCCAGGGGCTTCAGCCCCAACTCTTCCTTCACCGACAACTCCGGATGTGGCGTCTCATTCTCCACAAGCTCCACCAACTGTGTTGCCGTCATGACAGAAGGGGTGTTCAGCAGACTCCTTGTCCTCCTACCATTCATCCTCCATTTATTCTGCGGTAGTCGAACTTCTCGAACCTTCACATGCAACAAGGAGCCATCTTCATCCCAGCGGAGCTGCACGTACCCATTCTGCTCACCCTCGGTAATCACAGCACCAAACCATCGACACCCCCACCGTCCCTCCACTCGCATGCCTGCAGTGAAACGAGGTCCTGCCGAATCCGCTACGGGTACGAAACCTCCGGCACATCGCCGCCCAACAGGTGTGACTCGGCAAAATAAAGGAGCATCTTCGTCATCACAGCCACCACTTTTCCTTGTCGATAAGGGTAACGGCAAGGCAAAGGCATCCTCCTTCCCTCCCTCACCCAAATCCCCCTGCCCCATCACATCATCCTTTGGGAATGGACCCAATGCCTCCTTGGCGGCTCCCTGAGAAAGTGAAGCCCTCCCAGCACACCCACCATCAACGGCTTCCGGGAGTGCACCTCCCGTGGAAACAGCCACTGCCCCCACCTTCTGCTGCTCACGAGACTTCCAGGAGCGGAATGGGACATTGTTTGCCTGTTGAACCGGCGAAAGCGCTTGCGCGGCCAAACCAACTGCACAACCCGTGGTGACCTGAGACGCCGCTTGGCGCCTGCTTGTGTGAGTTTCTGGGGTGGGGATGAGGCGCGGGGTTGAGAAGCAATGCTCCATCCCCGTGACGGCCTGCCCCAGGCTATGAAGACCAAGCACGTCATTATCGGGGTAAGTCACATCCCGGCCAATGATTACTTGTTCCTCCTCCTCCTCTGCCGCACACCTAAGAGGAGAGTACAGAAGCAGCCTGCTTTCAGCTGGGTCCCCCGTGTGATGACGTCTCTCCCCCGTCCTGACATCGTCTTGAAGCTCTGATCTTCGCCGCCATGCGCTCATGGGGCTCGCAGCACTCAGTGGCGACGCTGTTGACGAGACGCCAGCCTGCTCCCTCCTCGCTATTCCATCCGGACTGTCGTCAAGTTTCAGTTCAAGAAGCGGGTCACGTGCAAACAATTTGTGTGACTGAGACGCAAGAAACGCTGTGATGTCCTTTTCCCACGCCCGTCTGACAACAGCGTTAGTGTCCACATCGGCTGATTCACCACCGAGCTCCAGCCTCCGTGTGGGTGTCGTGCTCTCCAACAGACAAGCGCCCTCTGACGCCGCCTGCTGCACCTCACCACTGTTGTTGCTCTCCGTTTCTATCCGCCCCATGCGTCGCACACACACATACACACAGAACCACAGCAACGACCGGCCCCTCGACTCCCTCGCGCAGGCAAAACAAAGGCAATGTATGTGCTTTCCCCCGTCCACAGCAAAGGGGCAAAGAAAGTGCTTCTCAACTGTTGACTGGTGTCCTATGCCCTTGAAAGCAAGCACCACACACACACAAAAAAAAAAAAAAGACAGAAGGAAAAATAGGCATTACCGGCAGGGCAGTCAGACAGCCGCAACAACAGATGGCGGGCCCCCGCAACAGACGCCACATATCCTCCTTATGGCCTTTTGAAGGCAGCAAATCACCACAAGGAAGGAAGCCAAAGTATTTAAAAAACAAAACCACATTTACGCCGTTGAAAGGCCCCAGGTACGACGGCAGCCCGAGCACCACCAAAAAAGAGCAATGTGTCCGTGCTCGTTATTTTCAGTTCCGCACCAACGTGTCTGCCGCACTCAGTACCAAGCGACTGACGCAGTAGGAAAGACGTCTCAGCCGATGGGCCATAATAATTTAAAAAAAAATTGAACCAAAGCCCCAAACCGCCACACCCGTTTTTTATTCTTAGTTTTTTGCTGTTTAAAAAGTACCAAAGTAAAGTTTTCGTTTTCGTAAATTATTTTATAATTACTTCACAACAATGCGGGCGCCTAGTCAAAAGGGGCATGGCAGG